TCGCCTCGGCCTCCCAAAGTGCTGGGATTACAGGCTTGAGCCACCGTGCCCGGCTTTTATTGTAATTTTTATCTGACTTTTAGAGAAAGGGTCTAATTTTGTTGCCCAGGCTGGAGTTCAATGGTGTAATCTCTGCTCACTGTGACCTCGGCCTCCCAGGTTCAAGCGATTCTCCCCTTCCTCAGCCTCCCAAGTAGCTGGGACTACAGGTGTATGCCACCACACCAGCTAATTTGTATTTTTAGTAGAGATGGAGTTTCACCACGTTAGCCAGGATGGTCTCGCGCTCCTAAGCTCAGGTGATGCACTTGCTGGGATTGCAGGCAGGAGCCCCGGCGCCCGGCCCGTAATCATTTTTGAATGAGGGCACCTGCGTTTTCATTGTTCACCAGGTGCTGCCAATTATACAGTGGGAAAGAGAGAGAGGCTCTGAAGAAGTGCCAAAGATGAAGGCATAAAGCAGAGAGAAATAAATATTAACAGATTTCACACATGCACAGAGAGAAGCTGAGAAGCAGAGACAGGATTGGAGGAGAGACATGGGTGACAGCGAATCCGAGAGTCACCGAAAGGCAGCACCCACACGGAGTCCGAAGCAGAGACAAAGATGAGAGGAAAAAAGGAACCAAGAGAGGCAGCTCTGATGGGAGCAGACAGAGGCCCCAGAAACCAGGAGCAGCAGAGGACAGAGGGAAGAGACAGGGTCTGAGGCGTGGGAGAAGGGCACAACCTGGGCTGTGCGGGTCCCGGCGGGACGTGGGGCCTCACCTGTGTGCCCGTCTGGCCTGCATGGGCCAGGGCAGTTCCCGGGAAGGGTGAGGGTCCTGTAGCTCTGTCTGGGTGACTTCTGCAAAAGCCTGCCTGCTCCTTCCTCCATCCTCCTCCTCTTCCTCCTCCTCTGGCGTCCCCCAAGGCAGCACCCCAGGGCCTCGGTACCGAAGGGTAGCAGCACTGGGCAGTTCATTCAGCACAGAAGACAGAGACTGGCCTGGGGAGGGGAAGCTGGCTGGGAAGACTCGAGAGTCTGGGCCCAAACTCCTCCCTCGTACCAGAAAACCAGGCCCCAGGCCCCTCCTCCCTCCGACCCAGGAGTCCAGGCCCCCGGCCCCTCCTCCCTCGGACCCAGGAGTCCAGCCCCCGGCCCCTCCTCCCTCCGACCCAGGAGTCCAGGCCCCCGGCCCCTCCTCCCTCCGACCCAGGAGTCCAGCCCCCGGCCCCTCCTCCCTCCGACCCAGGAGTCCAGGCCCCCGGCCCCTCCTCCCTCCGACCCAGGAGTCCAGGCCCCCGGCCCCTCCTCCCTCGGACCCAGGAGTCCCGGCCCCCGGCACCTCCTCCCTCGGACCCAGGAGTCCAGGCCCCCGGCCCCTCCTCCCTCCGACCCAGGAGTCCAATTGCCAGCCTCTACTTCACCTGGACCCAGGGGTTCACAGCCCTCGATCCCATCCCCAGGGACTCAAATGTGGACCCCTCCTACTCCAGGGCAGAGGAGTCCAGCCTTCAACTTCCTTTTCCCTCTAGTTCAGGAGTGTGGGGACCCGGCCTCTCCTATACCCAAGACACCCAAACTCCCAGCCCCTCACCCTCCCCTCCTCCCAGACTAGCCTGGTTCTCCAGGCTCCTCCTCCTCAGACCCTGGAGTTCCAGCCTCCACTTCCCTTCTCTGTAAAACCAGGAAGTGAAACCTGCTCTTCAGCCCTCAGGCTCAGGAGTCCCACCTAGCCTGAAGGTTGGTGGATCTGAACCTCTCCTGGCTTCCCTACCTCCTCTGGCCTCCCGGGGGGCCAGCCACCCGCTAGAAGAGCCCCAAGCTGCTGAATCCAGGGTTGGGTTTTCTTCCATGGCCTCAGGCTGGGCTCTCTAGTGGCCAGCAGGCAGACACTGCCCCAGGTAAGGGCGGGGCGGGGCAGGTGTGTACCTGGCCGGCAGGTGGCCCGGAGGGAGTTAGGTACACTTCCTGTAGTTTCACAGGGCTGGGGATTCGGAAGGTCTCCTGGGACCTGAAGTCCCGGTGGTGCCCGGGCCTGACAGTTTGGTTCCTGGGCCAGGCTGGCAGCTGCACCTCACCTGGGACTCCCGGTGTTTGTCATCCACAGATGCTTGCACAGACACGAGGCATTTGTGCAACACTTTATTGGGAAAGATTTACACACTGTGACCTGTCACAGGCCAAGGAATGAGAAGAGGGAGCCAGGAGCATTGGGGCCCCAAGGTGACTCAGATGTAAGCCGTGGAGTGGCAGTCCCCAGGCCTGCGCACCCGTGCCTCAGTTTCCCCTTTGTGAAATGGGAAGCTTATGCTTCCTTCCAAGTCTGCAATATTGGCATGATGAGCTAAAGTCAGAGCAAAAGACACAGGAAGAGGCTGCCGACTCCCAGGGCCTCCCCCAGGCTCCAACCACACACTGTGGATGCAGAAAGGGAATTTGCCCAAACCTGCCGCTCATAGGCCCCTTCTGTTCTTGGGAAGTGCAGTGCTCTCTGGAGACCCCGAAGCCGGAGCAGGGGCAAGGGAGACTCTTGTCAGGACAAGACTTGGATTTTGTAGGAGGAGAGTGGCCACTGGAGGCCCCTGGGCAGAGGGCAAGTCTGCTTCAGTGGCAGGCAGGGTATTAGCTGGGGAAGAGGAAATTCTCTCCAGGACCCTTGCCAAGGTAAGGACTCCTTCTGGGGAGGAGACAGCAGCCTGGTTCACAGAATCCCCGGGACCCGCTGGCAGAGGGAGCGTCTCGGGAGCTTACTCCTCCCGGAGCTTCTCCGGGGCAAGGTTGGTGGGCTGGGAGGCTGCCTTCCGCCGGCCAGGGCTGCCCCCACCCAACGCCAGCCCCAGCCCCAGGGCAGCCAGGGCCAGGAAGTGGATGCAGAAGTAGATGGAGGCCCAGTACCGAAGCGTGTCTGCCATTGAGAGGAGCACGAAGCCCATGCACATGTAGTCGTAGGCGCGCATCTTCAGGAACCAGTGCACCCAGTCCCAGGCCTTCTGCCCCCCTGGGCTCAGCCGCCCCCGCAGGGCCGACTCCAGCCGGCCCTCCGCAGCCAGGCACAGCGGGATGGTCAGGAAGCTCAGGTAGTAGCCCGGGTGGAGACCGTGCCAGTAGGCGCTCAGCAGCATGGTCCAGGCGCTCCTGAGGAGGGGCTGGGAGTCAGGACCTGCCAGTCCAGTGCCCTGTGCCCTCTGCCCCCCCCCCCCCCCCCCGTCACAGGAGTCCAGGTCCCCGGCCCCTCCTCCCTCCGACCCAGGAGTCCAGGCCCCCCGGCCCCTCCTCCCTCAGACCCAGGAGTCCAGG